GGAAGGAAGGAAGGAAGGAAGGAAGGAAGGAAGGAAGGAAGGAAGGAGGAAGGGAAGGGGAAAAAGGAAAAGAAAGAAAAAAGGGAGCTGTGCACTCTCGATAGGAAGCATGGGAAATGCACACTGAGCACTCACTGTGCCTTCGTTGAGGGCTTTGCTGATCAAAGAATTTTACTGCTCCCAGTTTAGAGACGTGGAGCCTAATGTTTACAGAAATTAAATGCTCTGTCAAAAAGACAGTGAGCTAGAAAGTAGAAGCCAGCAAAATTAGCTTAACACCTTCTGGGCCCCCAGGTCTCCACCTTACTCAATTTATCAAGCTTCTGCTTTGAACTTAAAACTCCAGCCTTTAATGATGTAGTAATAGGTAGGGGTTTGTACAGTCTTCCATGGCTTTTAATTCCAATTAAAAGGGAATTCAAAAGAAATTAAAACATACCCAAAGCCTACACAGAGAACTACAGACAACTGAGGACTGTGGAGAGTGGGAGAAACAGTCTTCCCCAGGGAAGAGCGCACCAATTAGGCATCCAGTACCCCAGGGTCAACCCCCAAAACATATATCCAAGTGACAGTATACAGACTTCGAAAGCTTATATTTACAACTGTGTGTGTGTGTGTGTGTGTGTGTGTGTGTGTGCAACAATTAATGAAAAAAGAGGCCATGAATTTGAAAGAGAGCAAGGAAGGTTATGTGGCAGGGCCTGAAGGGACAAAGGGGAAGGGGGAAATGATGTGACTGCAAACTCAAAAGCAAAAGAAGTCATAAAAAATAAATTAAAACTCTCTCTCTCACACACATGCACACACACACACACACACACACACACACGAACACACAGCACACTGACTAGCACAGCGTCAGTTAGGAGGGAAGAAGAGCTTCTTGCGCAGGGTGAAGGTGGGCTGAGGCATCTGCTTCCCCATGTTCCTCCTGTCGTCCTTATTGCTCACGTCGTAGTTCACGCCCGTCAGGATGCTGAGAATATCTTCGCCCCTGAAACACAAAGCGGTGTAAAGTGTTGATCAGGGCGACACGGTGGCCGTCGTCTCGCTGGCTGTGCCCGAGGAAGGTTCTCTAGTTCTGAGTGTCAGAGCATCAGGCGTTTGAAGTTGTAAGTCACTGAATCGAGGCCTCCCACGGCTGTCCTGGCAACCCCGTTTCCTCGCAGCACACTGAATTATCTATGTTTACTCTGGATCTCTGCCGGTTACAGGAAGCCTCAGCATCCCTGTCAGATTTGATTTCCTCCCCTCCTAGTCTCCGAGCTCCTCACTGGGCCCCATGTATTGTCAGTTGGGCCCCACACGTGCCTCAACATCCCCCTATGCCCTCTACACACAAAAGTCAAATGTTTCCTGCAGCCGCCCCCAACCCCACCCCCGCCACCCCCACCCTCGTCACCAACTGTCTGAGCGACTTCGGGACTCAGGACCTTCGTTACAAAATGAAAGCACCACTGACATTCCCGTCTCCTCCCTATGTGCTGTGGGAAACCCTCACTCTTCATACGCTCCAGCTGGGTGTGAGGTGGCGAACCTGAAACACGAAGCCCTAACCTCAGATGGACAGACTTGTGGCTTAAAAGTAGACCATGTTAGTGGAAACATAAGGGTCTAAGGGTCTCCTACTCTTCAGGACTTCCTGTGGTTTGCTAAGAAGACTCGAGGTTAGATAGTTAATACAGGATTTCTTTCCTAATTTTACAAGCATTACACTTATTTGTGTGTGTGTGTGTGTGTGTGTGTGTGTGCGTGCGTGTATGTGCACACGCATGACATAGTACACATGCGGTGGTCACAGGACAGCTTAAAGGAGACGGTTCCCTCCGCCATGTAGGCGCTGGGGCTCTAGTTCAAGTCATCAGACTTGGCAGCAAGGGCCTTACCCACTAAGCCGGCTTGCCAGCCCTTGAATGTGACTTGGGACAAAGGTGAAATACGCTAAACAGAGTGGACTCCTGCCATCTTGGAAGACTCCCAAAGGAGTTGAGTTGCCTTCAGTCAGGTTCCTACCAGAAGACAGAGAGCTGGACTGTGCGTTCAGCGTCCTCTCAGCTCTGCGGCACCCTGGTTGCCGAATAAAGGAAACTTCAGTAAATACGTTAGTTTTCCCGTCAGTGACACGTGCTCTCTCTCCCACTTTGCAACTGACCTGGGAAATACAGCTGTGCGAGCTACAGCTAGACACTCAGAGATGGGACACGCCCAGCGGGTACTGCTCTGCTTCATACATATTATCTCATCATAAAGCACTCTCTAAGGGGCTCTGACTACAGCAACTCGCAACACCGAGAAGGACCCAGCAGGCAAAACTCACTGAGGACATCTTTCCCTCAGGCTCTGGCAGAGTGACTGGATGTACCAGGTTCCATGCATGGGATCTCGGTAGGAAACACAGTTTTTCACCGTAGCCATCCCCAGCAGAAAGTCGGCCTCATCCGGAATATAGTTCTTGTGAGATGACGAGTCTATTTCTAAATAATTGTCTTCCTGTTGTGAGTCAGTCTCAACCAGTACAGCTTTCTGGTAGCTCTCCCCTTGACAAGCCTGAATAAAAAAGATTTTGGGTTTTCCAGCCAGGGAAGGACACTTTAAACCGGTGAAATAAGACGTGAGCTCATAGATGGAGGCTTCCTTCCCGTCGGTGCCGTAGATGATGCCCTTGTCTCCGTGGGAGAGGATACAGCACACGAGGCAGTCTTTGTTCTTGTGGTCCATGCTTTGGTAGGATCGCAGGACCTGGCACATCTCATCTGCTCTGCAGTCCTTGTAAGACACTATCTCAAAATGAAGCTCCTTAAAGGTCTCAGTCAGAGCATCTGAAAAGTAAGATAGGAAAACCACGGGTTACAGTAGTTCCCAGAACACAGCCCAGAGATGGATAAAACCCTGCAGGCAAGAATCAGAACCCGAGTGAGGCCTTCTGTATTACCAGCTGGGCCCCATAATGTTTATTGCTGCCAGCTGGAAGAACTGTGCACAAGAAAATTTGTTGAGTTCTCGCATCATGAGGATTCGTTTTGTTCTCATTCATTTTCACAGTTCGGCTATAGAAAGAGTTATATAGAGTTATATAGAGATTCTTTTCAAAATCCCCTTTCTTCTGAATTTTCATCTTTTAGCTTCTAGATTTACTATTACAAAATTCAATGCCCTTTTGGTCCCTGACTAGTTTACATCTTCATCTCCACCTTCACTCGCTTCTTGGATGGTTCTATTTCCTTTTTTTTTTTTTTTTTTTTTTATGGAACTCATGGTTGTAGAGGACTATGAATTCAGAACATGGCTGTCCTGGCAAGAGATCACGTCCAAAGACCTTTTAGGTCTGTGTGATCTGACTAGACTACAAACATGCCTTTAATCCAGGAGACAGAGGCAAGCAGATCTGAGTTAGAGGCCAGCTTGGTATAGAGCAAGTTTCTGGTAAAGAAAAGCTTAGGTCCAGGCATGGTGGTACACGCCTTTAATCCCAAATATTGAAGGTAAAGATAGTTTGTAGAAGAAAGCACCCATGTATGAAAGTGAATTCTAGCAGAGTGGCAGAAACAGTGATGAATCAGAGAAAGACTTTGTCAGAACAGAATACATCCAATTCTCACAAAAAGAGGAAGGAAAAGGAAGCTACTTAAGGGGTAATGAGAGAGGAGGAGGCGGCAGTTTTACTGAGACAGTAATAGAGGAGAGGTTGTAGAGAGAGAACTCAGTTGAAGACCGAATGAGCCAGAGAATGAGAAGGAGCCAGGATTAGAGCAGATTGCTAGAGTCAGTTTAAGGCCAAACAGAGCAACTCAGAGGCAGAGAGAGAAGTCACATTGTATAAGTCAGCTGGGAGAGGAGTCTGAGCCAGAACAGCTGAGTTGAGCCTTCTAGCCCAGAACTTAGTAAGAACAAGTAAGGGTGAGCTTATTCAGCAGTTGGTCTCAGAGGCTGAAAACATTATAGCCTAGATTAGATTGTAAAGAGGCTAGAAGCTTCCAGGACTAGGCCTAGGTTAGCAGACAGAGGCAGTGAGCCTCCCAGACAACAACTGAAGCAGGCGAATGAAAGTTCTTTTTATACGTGGTCACAGATCAGGTATCCTTGACCAGTATCCATGTTTTTTTGTTTTTGTAAATCCTTTTGCTCCATTTTCTATTGTCATATTCTTTTTGTTCAACTTTGCCTTCCATTTTTTAAATTGTTGCACATATATTTTAAATTATCATTTTGTGTGTATGGGTGGTTTTTGTTTGTTTGTTTGTTTTGCATGTACATGTATGTCACATGCATGCCTGCAGAGGCCAGAAAAAGACACTCAATCTCCTGTCTCTTGAACTGGAGTTAAAGACAGTTGTGAGTTGCCATGTAGGTGCTGGGAATTGAACCTGGATCCTCTGAATAAGCAGCCAGTGCTGTCAACTGTCAGCTCTCCAGCCCAATGTCCCCATACACTTATTTTTAAAGTATTCTTTCTATTCTGTGTCTTTTCATACCATTTTACTAACATTTTTTTTTTTTTACTAATCTCTGTAAGAATATTAAATACACTTGTTTTGTTTTGTTTTGAAGCAGGATTTCTGCTGTCCTGGAACTCACTCTGCAGAGCAGGCTGGCCTCCAACTTACGGAGCTCCACCTGCCTCTGTCTCCTAAGTGCTGGGCTGAAAGGCTTGAGCCATCACCACCCGGCTAAATACAGCTTATAAAAGCTTTTTCCCTACGGTATGTTAGTTTCATTTACACTGATTTTTTTTCTTGTTTGCATTTCCTTTCTTTGATATTAACTGGCTGAGTGGCTAAGACTCTGACAGAACACTTTGTGTCTGGGAGTATGCTCCGCTCACGGATGGAGTCTTCAGCAGGGTGCGCAGATGGGGGATAGCCTGTTCTCCAGGAGATCTCCAGGTCTCGCTATCTGTACATGACAATCTATAGCGACTGCAAGTGTCTGGAAACAACTCGGGTTAGAAATCTGACTTCCCGCATCCAGTACACTGAATTTTCTCTACTGACTCTTTTCAAAATGATGCCTCACTGCTTCCTCTGCTGAGCCTGGTATCCCCAAACTAGAGTCTCTCCGGTACATTTTATGAGGGTGCTCTCTCTGCCCCTCATGAGGGGAGGTAAAATCTGTCTCCAGGAGAAAGATCTGGGATCCACTGTGTCAACTGTAAGCGTTTGGTGAATTCTCAGTTTGCAGCTCATTGCCTCACCGAAGCTTTGCATTTCCTGTTCCTGAATCCTTCGTTCCGGGACTCTACAGAGTAAACAGGGTCACCTCTGCTGCGCTGTCTTCTGCAGTCACTAAGACTGTGCCTTCCGCTGCTCTGTACACCGTCTCTCCTCCTCTATTTCCAAATATGCCTTCAAACCTTTCATCAGCTGCTGTGCCCACTCCTATTCTCCTAGTCCTGGGGTAACCTGTTTGGTTTCTTTCCGTCAATGCTAAATATACACCGCCTGTCAGGAGATGATCCAGCTCCAGGAATGGAGAATAAAGCAAACACATTGGATCCTTACAAGTCTGAAGATCTTTTACAAGACTATAAGAGCTTTGTTTCTGTGGAAGGTTTGGGATTCCCTTGGAATGTGGGAGGCAGATTTAAAAATGACTGCAAAGTAGTTCAAGAGGCACAACAGCTGAGTGTCACAGAAACCAACACAGCAGCACCAATGTGGAGTACTAAGTACAAAAAAGGTTTTAAAAAAAAAAAAAAAAAGAGCCATACAAACTCAAATACAGGTCACCAACGCCAGGTACAAGAAAATGCAGAACCAGAGTAAGATATAATCCTTTCTTCTTGTCTTTCCTTCTTTTGTCTCTAAGCCCAGGCTGGCTTAGAACTTACCATGCCACTGAGAATGATCTTGAATTCCTAATTCCCCTGCCTTTGGCTTCTGTTACTATTCTGTTATGGATATTTGTATATATTAATGCTATTAATTAAAGTCTCACTGAAGTGAAGAGTTTTCAATGTCAACATAAATAGGCAGCTCCAAAGCATTCCTTGCTAGTTTAGCATTGTGTTGGTCACTCCCAACTCATCTGCCATCGGGTGACTTTTATAAGCTAAGTTCCTGCAGTAGTACCGACACCACAACAATTCCCCCCACCCCACCCCCGATCGATTCATTCTACAGAAATGTTTTGTTTTGTTTTGTTGACTTAAGAGTAAAGCTCAGGGCTGAAGAGATGGCTCAGTAGTTAAACCACTTCCCAGCTCCAGCTCCAGAAGGATTTGGTGTTCTCTTCTGGATCCAAGGACACACACACACACACACACCACACCACGCACACACACGCATGCACGCATGCATACACATACAAGGCATACTCACATAGAGACACATACACATAAATAAAAAATGAAATAAACGTTTAAAAAATGTTTAGATCATTGATGCTCTCTATTATAAACCAATTAGTAAGAGCTGTCATTTTCATGATACATGTAGTACTTTGATTTTAAAACCTAATTTAAAATAAAAACAGAAAACTAACAGGTGTGCAAGAATATTCTTTACCCCAACAAGAAAATACAAATGAAATTAATAAAATGAATAAAAAATGGGACCTTTAGGTCTGACCATTGTTCTCTCCTTTTTAATAATAATAAAGACCCACAGGAATAAAAATTACTTGTGCCTCTGCTTTGGATCCTACTGTACCTTCATCGTAGTTTGTTCCTTTTCTGTCCTTCATTGTGCGGAGCTTGGGTACATGCTTCCGCGCCTCGCTGAAATCGTTATTGTTGAAGATCAGACAGTATCCCCGAGGTTTGTTCTTCATTTGGTAAGCCTTGTCTGATGTCTGGAACACAAAAGCCCAGCCCGGGAGCTGAGGCTGCAGCTTGGACACCAGCTACTGCCCAGGAAGGGGTTCTGTGGCCTAGCAGCACTGGGAAGTGCGTGTTCCTGGCATTGCTCCAGCCAGATCTGCGGCAACTTTCCTGAAGACTACTTTATGCTCCTCCCTTCCCCCCCCTCCCCCCCCCCCCCCCCCCGCACAGCTTCCCATGGGATATACCGTAAGTGGGCCTGGGCCTATTGCCTACCCTGAGTGTACGTCACCACTGTCATGGCTGCCCATTACCATTGTGCTTGCCTCAGTTTCACTCATCACACGGAAGAGCTTCAGGCCCTGGAACACGTGTGCCATTTGTGGAGACTAGAGTCTGGGGACTTTGAGTTCCCTAAAGGGTGATGTCTTGGGAGGCCCCTCTGTGACTTTGAGACTCTTTTTGAGGTTTACTCAGCTCATCTGCATCTCTTGGCTAAGAGCTAGGGGCCTGCCCTTCACACATGATACAGCGCAGTCTCTGGATGTTTAAAGGTGATGCCTTAAGCCAGTGCGAAGGAACTCCATGGCAGGTGGAGAGCAAGGAGCTTTGTCAAGTTGTGCTTACAGGATCCTGACAGTGAAAACCAGAGGGCCTGCATTCTGCTCATTCTCTTACGGCTGTTTCAGGCTGAGTCTTGGCATTTAGGTAGAAGCCTCTGCTGTCTCCTGAAGTACAGGCTAAAAGGTAATGCCAGGCTTCTATGGCTTGAAAACGTAGGACTTTGATCAACTCTCCTCATCTCCTAGTAGCTTAATAGCTTATTCTAAGCTTTTTATAACACACTTGAGTTTCTCTACATATTGTACAAACTCTTTGCTTTTTAGTATGTTTTCTATGGCATAAAATACTTTACTAAACACAGGGTATATTCAGTATTTGTTACTATCCTGAGTGTTTCCTACTTAGGTAAATTTATTCTGATGCTATAATTCTAGCAGTTACTAAGAGTATCATGACATTTTCAGCTGCCTGGTGAAGACAGTTCTGTAGGGACCAGTAACACTGTGGACCTGTCTCTGCTTTCCTGACCAGCAAAGGCCTGTGACTCCGCTTGGGAACCCGCCCTGGTACGGACTCTTTCTCAAGGTGGATAGGATCTCCCATGCTTCCTGCCACAGGGAGGTTCACGGGCTGTCCTCGGTGAATTGCTGAAGACTGTAAATGCAAGCTGTGTCTAGGAAGGAAATCTCTCTACAGGCGTGACTGAGACATAAAACTAAGACACGCTGAGGTCCTATTTGTTGTCTAGAACAAAGGAAAACCTCTCTGCGAGGTCATGCTGAAAGAGAAGGCCTGGGAGAGCAACTCCCGAGGCTCCGAGCCCATACCCCATGTGCCCATCTTAACTGGTAGACCTGCTAGAAGAGGGGGAAGGGAGGCACACACCCTCCCCTTCAACAATTCCTGTATCTTTGCCTTTGATCTTATAATAAAATTACAGCCCGGTGTGGTGGCCCACACCTATCATCCTAGCACTGGGGAAATAAAGGCAGGGGTTCAGGAGTTCAAGGCCTCCTCCGCTACGTAATGAGCTCAAGGTTAACCAACAAAAACAAGAAACAGAAACTTCAATGCAAAGAAGGAGGGAGAGGATGTACCTGGGCCTTGCTGTCTTGTTCTCTTGGGGAGTCCCACGTTGTCAGCGTTCTTAAGCATATCTCCCCTGCAAGAGACCAAGAAAAACATCCAGAATGAGAGGCTTTGGGAAAAGGCTGTTTGGTAAAGACATAGGTAACACTTAGGATAACCTAAGGACCTTAAAGACATTTTTCAGGGCCCACACGCATGCACATTCGAATGTATTTATGCGTGAGCTCACGTGCGTGTGTGTACATTCACAAGCAAGAGCATGCTTATGTGTGAGCACGTGAGCATCTGTGCACGTATGCTTGACGTAGGGGGCACTCATGCTCTGGCGCATGGAGATCAAAGAGGACTTTGCAGAGTTGCTTCGCTGCTTTACCCTTACATGGATGGGTTCCAGAGCTCGAACTCACATCACCTGGCCTGTATGGCCAGCATTGGCCTCTAAGGCATTTTTTAAAATAAGCACTGAAACTGCCTTGAACATGCTTCGGATACATAGGTCTTGTAGGAAGGGCATTTAGCACGCCCGCGCCTGGAAAACCGAGCGCAAACTCATTTGTGAGGTGGTCATTGAAAAGGGCATGAGCTCAGGATGAATCCCTGACTCAAACACACTGAAGGCGCTGGCAGAGAGCCGGGCTCACGCAGCCACGGACAGAAGGAAGGACTGGCTCCCTTACTCAGGCACCTTCCTTTAAAGGAAGGTGATCCTCGGGGCCGGAGAGACGGCTCAGCTGTTGCAAGCTTAGCGCTCATCGCAGAGGACCAGAGGGTCCCAGCACCCACACGGTGGCTGGCGACCATCTGTGACTCCAATTTCAGATCGGATGCCCTCTTCTAGCCTTTATGAGACCCCACACCATGCACACATGTTCCCACATATACATGTAGGTGAAAAAGAAATCAAACTTTAAGAACAAACAAAAAATTTGAGAGAGCCAGTTGTGGTGCATGTCTTTAATCCTGGTTGCAGAGGCAAGGGGATCTCTATGAGTTGGAGGCCAGCCTGTGATACATACTAAAGCTAGGGCTACAGAAGGCGACCCTGTGTGGCGGGTCGAATAGGAATGGCCCTCATAGACTCTTGTTTGAATGCTTGGTCCATAGGGAGTGGCGCTATTTGGTACAGCCTTGTTGGAGTGGGTGTGGTCTTGTCTGAGGAAGTGGGTCACTGTGGAGGCCGGTCTTGAGATCTCACATATGCTCAAGCCCTGCCCAGTGGCACAATCTCCCTGCTGCCTGTGAACCAAGATGTAGCAACCCTCAGCTCCATCTCCAGCACCATGTCTGCCTGCACACTGCCATGTCTTTCCATGCTGATAACCTCTGACACTGTAAGCCAGCCCCAATTAAATGTTTGTCTTTGTAAGAGTTGCTGTGGTCATGCTATCTCTTCATGCAGTAAAACCCACACTGAGACACCCTGTCTCAAACAGACAAAAAAATTGAAGAAAACCTGTTTGTTCTAGCTAGCTTTCCTAGGTAAGAAAACAGGTCTGGAGAAGTTCCCCTCTGGGATGAACTAGGCAACTTGGCTCGAGCCTCTCAGGGTGAGGCGAGCACAGGACAGAGGATCTCAGTTGCAGGTTAAGCCTGGAAACCTGGACTTAATGCACGCTGGGCCAAGGGGCCTCTCACAGAGCAGAGAGACTTGAGGAAACTTGATCAGGAATGTTCCGGAAAAAGTCAGGCTCGGTGTGGTGCATGCCTCTGATCGTAGCACAGTTGAGACAGAGGCAGGCGGATTTCTGTGTTTCAAAGACAGTCTGGTCTACACAGGGAGTTCCAACACAATGAGAACTATGTAGAAAGACCCTGTCTCAACAAAACAAAACAAGAATGTTCTGGGGGGGAGAAATTGAATCTAGCTCCCATGACTCTTTGCAAAAGCAGAGAAGGTCAGAACAGAGTTAAGAGCCTCTTACATACTGAGTGCTCACTTCCAATATTCCCGTGGCTCTTGCAGAGGATTGGGGAGGAGGTGAGTGGCCAGTGAACTTTGCTCGAGATTGGGGTGTGGCAGAGGGTGGTGGGAACAGGAGGAAAGGATCTAGGGAATGTGTCTATGAGCATTACCGTCCAGAAATGATGCTGACGACTCTGTCCTTCCTTCAAGGCTCATTCTTCTCTCTGAATGAAAAAAGAAAAACTTGATCAGGAACAGCTTCCACTCCAAGGGCACTGCTGCCTCCCAGCCATCCATCATCTGTCTACCTGTGCTTGATTTTTCATAGTCGTCGATCTTCCCCAGCAGGCTCTTGTTGACCTGACCACAGATTGACTTCAGGATGTTCAAGTTTCCTTCCGCCAGGATGACTCTCTTCTCCATTTCTATGAAAATATCAAGCAGGCTCTGGGGAGGAGAGAACGAGGGGACAAACGGATTGAGCGCACAGGCTTGCGGATTAGGGCCTTTGTGTCGTTTGACTTCCACTTCTTCCAAACCTAGGGCCCAGCCTTCTTTTCCAAGTAGGTCCCCTTCCCACCTCTGAGCACATGGTGCTGTCTCAGAGTTGACGGGAGTCAGGAAGCCCATTCTGTGTTTCCTGGTCTACAAGGATTGAAAACTGGAAAGCTAGAGCAGCCATGTCAGGGCCACCCCGTGCCCAGGCCTTCTTCTCAGGCTAGTGTGTGCATGCCTTCATCTGTGGTCCAGCATGAGGAGTGAGGACGGGACAGCCCTGGACAGCGCATTGTACCCCGGCATCGCCCCTGGTCCCTCATCCACCTCTAAACCTCAGTTAATACACGCAGAGTCACAAGCACCACACACACACACACACACACACACACACACACACACACACACAGAAACACCACTCACTTGTGTGTGTGTGTGCACTAAAAAAATGCAGAGATACATTTGGACAAAGCATACATCAAAATTAGACCTTATACAAACACACACACACACACATACAAACAGACACACAGAGGGAGAGAAACCCACACACACAGGTAACACACACAGAGGCTCAGACCAACAGAGAAACCACCAAGAGGTATACACAGCACATACACAGGTACATATGCCACACAGGCATGACATACGCCGCATGTGGACACAGACACATACACCGTACAACCTAGTCATAAAGACACGTAATGCACACGGGGGTGGGGGTGGAGGGGGGATGACAAACAAGCGAACCTGAGGCATGTCAAGGGCAGCAGAAGTGGGGAAGATGGAACGCCAGGTCACCTTCTCTCCCCCGCCCCGCTGGGTCCCTGCTGTTGTTGAACTGTACAGCTTGCTTTCTCTGGCTCCCGGCTCTGCCCCGTGGTCACCCAGTAACACTTGACCGTGCAGGGGCCCGAGAACCAGAACTACTATTCCTGCCTAACTGCTGAGAATGCAGGGGCTGGGGGATAGCTCAGCCGGAAGAGTGCTTGCTGAACACGCAGGAAGTGCTGGCTTGCCACATCCTGGACCCTTGTAACCAGGACGGGTGACACGAGCCAGTACTCCCAGTGCTCAGGAGGTAAAGGTTAAGGTCATCCCTGGCTACACAGGAAGTTTGGATTCAGCCTGGGCTACGTGATACCATGCCTCAAAAACAATAAACAAACAAACAACCTTGAATTCAGTTTTCGGTTAGCAGTCCTCTCTGGTCCCAGAAACCCCGGCAGTGACCCATCTTGAGGAGGTACCAGGCCTTACCGAGTCTTCATGCAGCTTACATTTGGGGATCTCTTTGTTCAAAAGAAACTTAAAAGATTTCAATGTCAACTTGTCCACGTCTTCTGAGAGATTAAAGAGCATGACCCTGTGGAGGGAAAACGGAGACGCCTTAGAAACACGTTCTAGATCATTTCCCATCACTACACAGTTAACAGCAGGCCTCAAGCCCAGGTCCTCCTTAAAACAGCCAACTGCTCCTGCCTGCTGGGCCTCAGCATGAGGCTAGCACGGTGGTGAGCATCTACTGAGTCAGGTCCAACCAGCCCACCCTGGGCAAAGTCCCACCGCCCATGGCTTCCAACTCACTGTCACTAAAAGAATCTTGCTGCTCTTAAATCGATATAAAAATCAAGACCCCTGTGCGATGACTCAGGAAATTATATTCTCCTCAGTGCACAGCAGAGGTGACTCCCTTCCAAGAACTGACCAGTGTTCTCCTAGCCATTTCCTTCAGGAAGAAGGCTGGATATTTGAATATTTGGTTCTAGAATAAAAGGGACTCTGAACACACACACACACACACACACACACACACACACACACACGCACGCATATCTCCAACTCTGGAAAGACCAAAGACTCTCAACACAACCAGCTGCTATACCATCCTCCGGCTCCACGTGTCTACGGGCCACGTGCAATCGCACCACATGGCCCCGGTGTCCCCGGGGCTCTGTTCTCTCACGGAACCTACAATCATTCCCCCTAGAAAGATAACTCATTTGTTACAACAGCCTGTTTATAAACTGCCTAAGTGCCCTGACAGCCTAGCCCTTCCATTACCCCGAGATTTGTGAGGCGGGGTGCTTGAGTGCAGGGGCCCAGACTACCCTCATTGTAACTCTGAGCCCATCATCTTTGACCTCTGTGACTTTAGACATGTTACGTTTTTTTTTTTTTTCCTCTCATCTGTAGATAGAAGTTAAATGTACATCTACCTCATAAGCAGGTGTTAATTGCCCGAGTTTCCTTGGGTAACAGTCATGTGTAGCTCACTGGGCGTGTGCACATTCTGAGATGCAATTTCCTCACTTCGTGGACGTCACATTGTGCTCTTAAACTAAGAGTACTGTGGCATCACTAGGCAGCATGTCCTCCCAGGACCAAGGTCACTTATGCAATCTGCCACTGCCCAAACCATTAGGCAGCACACGAAAGCACACTGAGAGTTCAGTAGGTCACAGAAAAATAACTATTCCCTGGCACATTTAGGATCTTGGAAAATGCTTGCCAAATGAATAACAGAATGTTTGAGGAGTCAGCAAAACTTGGGGTGAAGAGGTGGCTGCTGGAGGCTGGTCTGATGTGTGTTACTGGCCCTCAATATCTGGTTACACCTATCTTTGGTTTGTAAACCTGCCTGAGACATCTCTGGTTGATTAATTAGCCTGTACCTGGTCAGAGCAGAATGGGGTATGTGTGGCGAAGGTTCCCAGACTTTTAAGGATGGAAGAATCTCAGGAGGTATCACAGGAGACAGACAGACGGGAAGAGAGGAAGGAGGAGGACACCAGGATGGGTTAGCCTGAAGAAAATACCATGTGGGCTGAGGAAGGCCTCCAATAATGTTGTGAAAAGGCCCAGATGGAGAATATAAGCAAGTACCATGGGATTATGGCTGAAAAGTGGTCCAGCTGAGGATTGAGGTGGATGGCCTTGGATGGGGGCTGGGAGATGGATGGTGAGAATATTAGACAGTCTAAGTCCTGTCTGGCCCAACATAAATAAATAAATAAATAAATAAATAAATAAATAAATAAATAAATAAATAGATAGATAGATAAATAAATAAAAAATAAATAAATAAATAAATAAATAAATCTAACAGGTGTCTATGTCTCATTATTTGTGATATCAGGTTAAATAATACCGCCATGATAATCTTAGGGCTAATAATAAACATTATGTAGCCCAGCACCCATTTCAATTATTTACTGCAACAGATGTCTCAGCAGTTAGGAGCACATGACGCTCTTACAGAGGACCAGAGTTCACTTCTGGGTACCCAAATCAGGCTGCTCTTTAAACTTTTGGAAAAAAAAATAATAATAATAAGTCAGCAAAACTCTCAATAGTATTGTATAAAGGAAAATAACCTTAATGAGCAAATATGTTAGTTTCCAAGTTGAGTTAGAAAATATAAAATCCTGAAAAAGAAATAGTATAGAAACAGAATATACCTCATATTACCACCATCTCAAAAACTCAATCCCAGAAATACTTCCATAAAGGATTCTCGGTTTGGCCAAGACTGGTCCACCCCAAGCTACTATGACTCTTTTAACTTTAGTTCAAAGTTTCCTGACCCTGATATGTAACAGTTTCCTGGAGATTGAAACTTTCCATTCTGCAGGGAAGCTCCTTGAGCAGGAAGGTAAACAACTCTAAACAGTTTCAGGAAGTCCTTGAAACCGACCAGATTCACTCGGCCCCTCCCTGCCAAAGTAAGCAATAAAAGCCAGAGTCCCACTCAGAGAGAAGGAAGCTGAGCTGCAAAGAGAACTCTTAACACCAGAGCAGCTGCTGGGAAGAAGGGGAGACCACGAGACCAGCCGAGCTGCTGGAAGAGGTTTAGACCAACTGAGGCACCTGGAAAGGACCCTACTCTCCTGTTGAGCCACCTTGAAGGCTGTGCAGTGCACTCTGGTTCCCAGTGTGTGAGCTGTCACCATCCTGGGAGGAGCTTTGGTGATTCAGCTGTCTTTGAGTCATTTCTGTTCCTGTGTGTAAACTCCTCACCCTTATTCTTGGAAGTAAACCCAATGAAACTCATTGATTCACCAGGTTGGACCTTGGTGGTATTGGTATTTTGATCTGACATGGGCTCCTTATCTGGGGTGAGCAGGCATATGTGTTGTGTCTACCCAGAAAAAGTTGTGTCCCACAACAGTCCCTTTATCTTCCTTATTACCCAGACCAACTGGCTTCATTAGCATTATTTGAAGGGACTCTGGCCAGCATGGCTCTGACAGGCCTTGCCTTTCTCCCCAATTCCCTCTGCCTTACTAAAAACCAGTAGATAACATTTCCAAAGCTAGCCCTTATTTTGCTGAGGCCGACTACCAAGGTGCAGCTATCAAAGTATGGAAATCCAGCAATCAAAAGCCCCCTTTGGTTCACCTAATTATCATGCCCAGTTAAAATTAAACACTTCAACCTAACATGGCGTTTCCCCCTTTATCTTTATAAACTGCCCATTTTCCCATGGACCACTTCTGCCTCCTCTCTATCCAGGGGCAGTCCTTTGTCCTCCAGGACAAATACCCCTCTCCCTTGCTCCCTTCCCCTCTCCCTCATCCTCTACCTTCTGTCTTTGTCTCTTATTCCCTGCCCTTTGACCCTCTGGGACAAATAAATCTCCTTTGTGCTGAGAACTTGGTCCTGGAGGTCATGAGCCAATACAACTCACTTCATTAATGTGCCAGCAGAAGTTATCATTTGAACTAAAACATCAAGTCCAGCGGCGGTGGGGCACAGCTTTAATCCCAGCACTTGGGAGGCAGGGGCAGGTGGATCTCGATAAGTTCCAGGCCAGCCTGGTCTATAGAATGAGTTCCACGACAGCCAAGACAGAAACAAACAAGACCGCCTAGAGTTTTCTCATGGTGGTAAGGCTCCATGTGTGCGTGTTTTTATGCTCCTGGCTCATGTTAGACAATGGTGAACAAGCCTTCGGCAAAGACCCTTCTTTGCGCAATCAAAGAGTTTAAGCCTTTGACAGGTACTGTCCTAGTCAGGGGACTTAGGATTCTCTACAAGGAGGGTAAAGACTCCTGCCTTGGCATTGTGGTTTGCCTCAGCCTAGCTCACAGGGCAGGAACTTTTAAGAGCCCAAGATGATGGCACAAGTTGAGGACACACACACCCCTGACTTTCCTACTTCTGGGGCCATCCCTTCTTACGATGAATAGGCGCCCTAATGAATAAACTCCTTATAAAGATCATAATTCTAGGAAACCCAAACAATACAGCGCTCCTGGCTGACTCCGAATCTTTTTAAAGTCACTGTATTCCTACGGTGTGAGGAGTTGCCTAATGTGGGCAAAGGGTGTTTGTAGACAAAATCTTATTCAGTTGGGGCCATATTGGAGGAGGTGGGGTCTAATCCAAAGTCTGGTATCCTAATAAGAAAAAGGAAACATTGAGAACAACAGCTCAGACAGACACTTCTGTAAGACGGGAGCCAGAGGCTAGAAGCTGGGTGTTCCTCCAAAGAGAAGCCAGTCCTGCTAGCACCTTGATTTCTGAATCTGAACCCCAGAACTAGGAGAGAATAAGATTTTGTTGTTGTTGTTTTCAAGACAGGGTTTCTCTCTGTAGCCCTGGCTGTTCTGGAATGCTCTGTAATCCAAGCTGGCCTGAACTCAGAGCTCCATCTGACTGCTTCTTTCTCCCAAGTGCTGGGATTAAGGGAATATGCCACCACACTGGGCTAGATTAATGGTTTTTTGTTTGTTTTGGTTTTGGGTTTTTTATGTTGTTGTTATCATTTTTTGAGACAGGTTTTCTCTGTATAGCCTTGGCTGTTCTGGACTTGTTCTGTAGACCAGGCTAGCCTCTACCTCACAGAGATCCACCCACCTCTGCCTCCCTGAGTGCTGAGATTAAAGGTGTATGCCACCATGCCCCACTTAAGTTAATGTTTTAAGCATTAATAATAGTGATTATTATTATTAATGTTTGCAGTACTTAATTATGATAGACCTGGGAAAATAATACATCCAGTATCAATATCACAACTGTCAAGCCTGAAGTAGGAAGCCATACGATAAGGAAAGAGTGGCTGCCAGAGCTGGCTGGGAGGTGTAGAGGTATGTGAATTTAGAACATGGCTGCACTGGCAAGAGATCACGTCCAAAGACCTTTTAGGTCTGTGTGATCTGGCTGGACTACAAACATGCCTTTAATCCAGGAGACAGAGGCAAGCAGATCTGAGTTAGAGGCCAGCCTGGTATAGAGCAAGTTTCTGGTAAAGAAAAGCTGAGGTCCAAGCATGGTGGCACACGCCTTTAATCCCAAACAATGAAGTTAAAGACAGTTTGTAGAAGAAAGCACCCATGTATGAAAGTGAATTCTAGCAGAGTGGCAGAAATAGTGATGAATCAGAGAAAGACTTTGTCAGAACAGTATACACCCAAAATCTCACAAAAAGAGGGAGGAAAAGGAAGCTACTTAAGGGAGTAGGATGAGAGAGGAGGAGGCAGTTTTACTGGGACAGTAATAGAGAGTGAGGGTACAGAGAGAGAACACAGATGGAACAAACCAAAGAAAGAAAGGGAGGAGCCAAAAGAAAGATTAGAAAAAATTGCTGGAGTTGGTGTGAGGCCAAGCAGAGCAATTTAGAGGCCGAGAAAAAAGCCAGATTGAGTAAGTCAGCTGGAAAGGAGTTTAAGCCAGAGTTGAACAAGCCAGCCCAGAGCTCGGTAAGAACAAGAAAGGAGGAGCTGATTCAGCAGTAAGTCTTAGAGGCTGAAAACATCGTAGGCCTAGGTTAGATTGTACAGTGGCTAAAAGCTTCTAGGACTAGGCCTAGGTTAGCAAACAGGGGCAGTGAGCCTCCCAGACAACAGCTGAAGCAGGCGAATGAAAGTTCCTTTTCCAGGGAGGCTTTCCCATGCCACGGTTTGCTAACAAGGAAAGATGATGAAGGCCAGCGCTAAAGCTCAAGTAGAAATATTGTAAAAGCAGAACCAAAACCCACATCAAGAAGGGCTGAGCACAAGGCATGTTGAAAAGGAGAAGAAGACAAAGTGCTTCTATTTTTAAGACCTGGTCACAGAACCATGATCTTGCCACTGCATGGAGCCTGTTTCACAGTGCCACTGTTTCTAGAACCACTGAGAAGACAGATCTCTGGGCCTGTCAACAGGGGGTTGCAGGGGGGAAGGTTAAGTTGGGTTAACTGCAGTAGCTAAAGGCTGGCATCATTCTGTAGGCCATGGTCCCAGAGAGCGTAAGGGAGAGAGTGAGCGGAGCACTGGCTTTGCCTCTGCCTCCTGACAGCTCACACATCTTGAACAGCCAGCTACCCCCTGCCTCTGTTGCCATGACTTTCTCATCAGGACGGACCGCACCCTCAAACCCTAAGCCGAAATAAACCCTTCTTTAAGTTGCTTTTGTCACAGCAGCAAGAACTATCACTAATACACACGGTCTGTCCCGCTGGGGTGCAGTCCAGTTTATAGGAGCGCAGCCGTCTGTGTGGGGCCGGACCTGGTGAGAGAGCCCAGTCCCCTGAGTCCTGAAGCCACTGAAGGGTTCCACGTGCATACACGGGTGGGGAGGGTGGGCCGTGTGGGACGTAGTGAGGCCCTAGCCATGGACAAATAAACACAGGTTGTGGGTGCCAGAGATCAGGGTGTATTATTCACCGATGGGTGAGCCTGCCTTAATCCAGGGCCATAGACCTGGTTTTTAAGTTCCAGAAGAGAATCCCCCCAAAGGCACAGATAAAGCGAAGTATTCCCGGCTTATTTCCGCGGGGGAGAAAACACAGCTGAAAGCCAGCACTTGCCATTCCCCTGCTAGGCCCAGGGGCGGCCTGCCGGGGTTCCTCAGCTGGAGTAGGCCGAGGCTTCCTTAGAAGTAATCTTTGCCCACAATCCAATCCAATCCGTTACAATCTGTTACACCAGACGCATGAACATGTTTAAACGAGTGGCCACTTAAAAAGTTATTAAGTTTACCAGGGGAAAGGGCAACAGTGCTCTCTTGTTTTTCCCAGAGCCGGGTCCTTCTTAGCTGGTCGGTGTGGCTGCCTCATACCCGGCTGGAATACGTGTTTATCTTCCTCAGTGTTCCCAGACTCACCATTTTATTAAACTTCCCCTCTTTTAACTCTCTTTAAGAAGAAAGAAGAAGAATGTTTATTTAAGACCTTATTCCAGGGGTCTGGAGAGACGGCTCAGTAGTTAAAGAGTTCCAGAGGACCTGGGTTCAATTTCCAGCACCCAGATGGCCGCTCCCAAACATTTGTAGCTCCAGTTCCAGGGAACTTGACCGTCTCTTCTGGCCTCCATGGGTTCCAGGGACTCATGAGACACACACACATACATACAGGCAAAGCATTCAAATTGTTTTTCGAGTGGGGGCAGGTCACAACACTGCCGATACAAAAGCCATATTCTGGGCTGGAGAGATGGCTCAATGGTTTAGAGCACTGGCTGCTCTTGCAAACATGCCGGACCAATTCCCAGCATGCACACAGCAGCTCACAACTGCTTGTAGCTCCAGGTCCAGGCAATATAACGTCCTCTTCCGGCCTCTGCAGGCCTCCTACATGCAAATGGCATACAGACACATGCAAGCAAAATACCCGCATCATAAAAATAAAAATAAGTTGTTTTTTTTTTAAATATCAGCATACCTGAAGGTCATGTTCAGTTTGAAAAATGAAAAATTTAAATTTACTTGTTCTTTCACGTGTGGATATACGCATTGTGGTGGTCTGAACGAGAAATGTCCTTCATTGGTTTGCAGATTTGAACACCTGGTCCCCAGGCTGCCTGGAGAGGTTACGGGGCTGTTAGAGCCCTGCCAGAGGAAGCACACCCCTGGACAGACTTTGAGAGCCTCAGCCTCGCCCCGCTTGCACTTCACACTTCCTGTTTCCCGTGTGCACGGGAGTTCTCAGCTTCCTGCTCCTGCCACCACGCCTGCTGGCTGCCTTCTTTCCTCTGCCATTACCAGCCCTCTGGAACTGTAACCCAACATACAGTCTTCTATAAATTGCTTTTCGTCGCGGTGTTTTACCACAGCAACAACTACCACACACAGGGCGTTGACCATATACCCCCAACCCTGGCCTCTCAGCCTCCTGTAGCCAGATTCCTTCCTCCCCCACCCCCCCACCCTCAACTCCCATTAAGTGCCTTTCTGTAGCATGCTTCATGAAAAATAAATTCTTTTCCAGCCTTAGCATTTTTTATCCTCTTAACTGTGTATTTAGCCCCTAAATGTCTTCCTTTAGCCCAGTCTCAAAGCCACTTATGGACCCCAGCAGCAGCAGCCACGGGGACATGTCCCTTCTGTCCACACTTCCGGCCCCCCAACCCCAGCATCTCTACCCACCTGTAGGGAGAAACCTGGGCTTTGTCTAGAACCTGCAGCTCCATCACCATGTCCTCCTTGCTGCTGTTTAGGACGTTGGTCAGCAGGTCCAGCCGATGGATTCGGAAAAGCAGCTCCTTCAGGAAGGACAGATTGCCTTCCTCCAACATTTCCTTTTCCTGCAGGCTCTGAAACAGCATCAGGGCATCGCTGATGGACTCCTGTTTCTTCTGTGGGATGTAGTCCAGGCACAAAAACTTGAGGGCAGCCAGTTCTTCACTGCCCAGGTTTTCAGCAATTTCGTAAAGACAGCTGTTGAAATCCATTCTTCCCCGGGGCTGGGAGAGCGGCAACCTAGGTCAACACATGATGTCGTGATCAAGTGAGAAAGTAAAGTGACAACTGCCAGGGCGCCTCCTGCTAAATGCTGATCACATTTACCGTATCCCAGTCACTTTAGAGGAAAGAAACCGAATAACAGGAAACAAAACCGGAAGTTCCTGCTTCTCAGGAGCTTTTGTTTAGGAGGTGGGTGGGTATACAGAAAGCCACTGGTCAGATGGTTGCCTCTGAGAACTATTTGACAGTCTTGGCAACAGAGGTTCCTGCAGGTGAGAGGAGGAGGCAAGAAGAGCAGTTCTTGAAGGAAAAGTGCCTACGAAATGTGGAGACAAGTTGGACAGACACGAGAGTTCAGCAGAGTAACCTGACAGGGTCTAGAATAGATTGGTGGTTGACTCTGCAGGAGGACAGCAAGCTTCGTGGCCAGGAACATGGGTTCTGCCTGGATTGAAGCCTGCCTGTACCACTGGCCGCTCTGCCTTGGGAAGCTGCTTCCTCAGACACTTGTAAGTGTCTCCGTGTGTAAAGTGATGGGGAGAAGGCTACCTTTCTTCTGAGGTTGTGACTCTGAGGTACTATCCAACAACACTCAGCTGCTAACACCAAAAACATGCCAACCTCCAGAAAAGAGAAACCCTGGTCATGGGACCTGTCTCCATTAGCTTCTATTGCTTTGATAAATACCATGACCAAAAGCAACCTGGAGAGTGGGGAGGTTTGTTTGCTCTTATATTTTAGAGTCCATCATCCAGGAAAGCCAGGGCAGGAACCCCGAGGCAGAAACTGATGCACAGTCCGTGGAGGAGTGCTTGCTTACTGGCTTGCTCCTCAGGGCTTGCTCGGCCTGCCTTCACGTAGCACCCAAGACCATCAGCCCAGAAGTGAGCTGGGTTCTCTCACGTCAATCATCAAGAAAATGCACCACCAACCTGTCCACTGGCCAGTCAGGTAGGAGCCTTTTCTCAACTGAGGTTCTCTCTTCCCAAAAGACTCTAACTTGTGTCAAGTTAACACAAAAACTAGCCAGAACAGTAGCCAGACAGGACCTGGGATACTGAGTGTTTTTCTCCCCTCCTCACTGTTTCTATTAAGTTGGAAACTGAGAACATTCATTTGGAAGTAGTATTCCTCAGACTCCTCAGCTGAGAAGATCTTTGTCTTACTCACGAGATGCCTTGCCCTTAAGAGGTGAGTCCAGATGGCAACTGTCTGAGACCCTTCCATGAGAAAACCTTTCCACCCAGCCCAGCTCCATCACTTCCGTGGTATTCCAGACACTGCCCTTCATCTTAACCTCAAAACTGTCTTCTCCCCCACAACAAAGAGAATTGTTCTTGAGTCTTTGTTTGTTTGTTTGTTTGTTTGTTTGAGACAGGGTTTCTCTGTGTAGCCTTGGCTGTCTTGGACTCACTCTGTAGACCAGCCTGGCCTTGAATTCACAGAGATCCATCCGCCTGCCTCTACCTCCGCAGGACTGGGATTTCAGGCGTGCACAGCCACTGCCCAGATTGTTCCTGAGTCTTAACTTTGGCAGTCCCTCCTCTTGAAACTTCATGGCTGGAAATACTAAGCTGGCCAGCAGCAGGAGACAATGACCAATGGAACACCCCATGGCCTTCTGTTATACATCTGACAGAAGGGTATTTTTAGCTGGGTATGGTGGCTCACCCTGTAATGCCAGCACTCGAGATGCAGAGGCAGGAGGATTGTTTAAAGCTCAAAGTCTACACGGTTCACATAGCAGTTCCAGGGCAGTTAGGTCTATAGAGCGAGACTCTGTCTCAAAACACACACACACACAAAAAAAAAAAAACCCACATAAATAATTACTTAAATATATTTTTATTGTCATAGTAGAATAGTTTTCATTTTTTTAATGGCCCCAAAAGACTTGTAGTTTTCCCTTTCAGAAATGGCATTCCCCTCCATGGTGACAGTAACTATTGATCTCTGTGTGTAAAAATTCAAAATATAGTAAACTAAAATATGGTCACATTGTTGCTATCATATGCCACTCACATAGTCACACACGCACACACAAGGATACACAAACATAAAAACTGGAATCAGACTACCTATGAAGATGCACATGGCTGAGTTTTATTGTGTTGATGTTCATAATGAACACCAATGTTCCACACAGCACATTTTTGTGTTTCTTCATTCATTGCATGTACATATAGTGGGACTTACTGGAAACAACTGTCTCTAAATTGTTTTTTTTTCCTTTGTTTTTGTTCTTTGTTTTCATTTGAAGAAACACGTCCTTTATCAGCCAGTGGTGAAACATGTCTTTAATCTCAGCACTCATGCGGCAGAGGCAGGTGGTTCCCTGAGTTCAACACTAGATGAGTTCCAGACTGAGTTCCAGGACAGCTAGGGCTATACAGAGAAACCCTATATCAAAAAACAAAAGAGAGAGAGAGAGAAAGAAAGGAAAAGAAAGAAAGGGAAAGGGGGGGGGGGGAGAGTCATGACAGAAATACAGATCACAAAGACCAGAAGACCAAAGAGGAAACAGAAATCAAGAAAGAAAATACACATCCAAAAATTACAACTTCAGAAATCAGCATCTAGATCTCTAGTCATTCCAAACCCAAATGCTTACATGTCAGTATAGGAACATGATCAGACATCCAGGGAAACATGCCACCTACTACAACAGGCCCTGGGTATTCCAACACAGCCGAAGCACAAGAAAGTGACCTTAAAGCCAATTTTATGAAGATGATAGAGGCCCTTAAAGAGGAAGTGAATAAATTTTTGAAGAGATCCAGGAAAATACAAACAATGAGAGGAAGTGAGTAAGTTCCTTTAAGAAAGCCAAGAGAAAACACAAGCCTAGGGAATCCTGGGGATGGAAAAGGCGGTCAAACAGGAACTATGGACTGAAGCATTGCCAACAAAATACAAGAGACAGAAGAGAGGCTCTTAGGCATAGCAGATATGGTAGCAGAAATTGATACATTGGGAAAAAAAAAATTAAATCTAAAAAACTCCTGACAGAAAACATCCAGGAAATCTGGGACACTATGAAAAGACCAAACCTAAGAATAACAGGAATACAAGAAGGAAAAGGCCGGGGAAATTTTTTTTTTTTTTTAACAAAATCATGGAAGAATGTTGGGCTCATGGACCGTGCCTCCAGAGGAATTGGCATGGGACTAGCAAGACTGGAGCATGTTCAAACCCTGGACATCTCACCTTTAAGACTTAAAATCTCGTCCTGAGAATGGAAGGCGTGGAACAAAGCCCCCTCCTTGCTTTCTGTCCTGGCCTCAGGAGCATGTGACACAGCCCCCAAGGTGGTCACTCAAGGTTACAGGTCAGTCACCTGAACTTGTCTCCTGTTATCTTTCCCCACGCAAACACAGCCTTGGCAGCGTCCTAGTCTCAGCCAATGACATGCATTCATCCCCCAAATCCCTCCCACTGCCCAAGGTGTATAAGGCTCTGCTTCACATGAAATAAACGGGCCAGCACCATCTACTTCATCGCTGGACCAGGCAAAGACGGGCATTCGCCCACACCCACCAGCATGAAGATGTCAGTTTAACCAAAGAGCGGTCACACTGGGGTACCATTGCCACCTTGGCTTCAGAACTCCGAGTTTCTGCTGCCGTTTGCTACCGGCATCTCCTTAAGCAGAGCTAACTGTGACACGGTGAAAAACCTCTTCTCCACGGCTCCTGTGCTACCAGAATTCTTGGCGCGCAGACTTCACTCCGCATGCTCCAGTTGTTCCTGAGGAAAGTGGAACCTGGGACCCCAAGTTCCATTCGTTTCTGCCCAGAAGCCAGCAGCACTCAGACCTTCCTGAGAGCACTTCCAGGGCAGGCCAGCGGAGGGGAAAGTGGAACCAGAGAAGAAAAATTTTTCTAACTTTAAGAACATGCCTACAAAGGTACAGAACACCAAAAATACTGGACCAGAAAAGAAAGTTCCCCTGACACACTAAACATACAAAACAAAGAAATATTAAAAGCTCCAAGGGAGAGGCTGGAGAGATGGCTCAGAGGTTAAGAGCACTGGCTGCTCTTCCAAAGGTCCTGAGCCACATGATGGCTCCCAACCATTTATAATGAGATCTGATGTCCTCTTCTGGCACGCTGTATAAATAATAAGTAAATCTCTTAAAAAAAAAAAAAGATCCAAGGGGAAATGGTCAAGTATCATATAAAAGAGCTACTAGAATTATACCTGACTTCTCAATGGAGAATATAATAGCCAGAAGAGCAGAAGAGCATGGACAGATGTCTTTGAGACTCTAAGAGACAAGACGAAAGAAAGAGGGAAAGAAAGAAAGAGGTCTGGAATTCACTGCGCACCAGGCCAGTGTTCCTGCCATAGTTTTTCAAGAGCTGGGATTAAAGACTTAAAGACGTGTGGCACAACCAGCACATCTGCATATTAATTGTTAGAATATCACCATACTCAGAGACTTTCTTCATCTTCTACATGCCCCTATTATTTTCCTTTTTAAAGTGAAACTGAATTCAGTATTGGTATAGGCCTGTGAGAGCCACAGTGAGTGTGCAAGGGTCAGAGAACTCAGGGAAGTGTTCCTGCCTTCCCTTCACAGGGGTTCTGGGGATCCAGCCAGGTTACACAGCAGGTTCTTTCACTTGCTGTGCTGGTCTTCCTCCATTCCTTTCTTAAATAAAGTGTTAGAACTGGAGAGGGAGAGGGAAAATGAAAATGAAAATAAATGCTGACTTGGGTGTGTTCGTGCGTTGAGGACTGCGTGGTGCAGAAGACAGGAAGTGGACTTCTGGGAAGTCCACCCCAGAGGAGGCAGCAGCTCTGAAAAAAAGCATCAGAACCCAAGTTCTTAAGAGAGCTGGAAGCTTGGCCTCCCCCAGACAGCAGCAGCTTACACAGCTCTCACAGAAACCCAAGAATGACCCAAAGGACAGTTTCCTTGACAGGGCTTTTTAACACACTATGTTAGAACAATGACCGAAACTTAAGGAAAGAGAGGAAGGGAGGGAAGGAGGGAGGCGGGGTAAGAT